ACCGATCTCTCTCTCTCGTGACCCTAACCCTTCCTCCGCGATCTAGCCTTCAAGCTCCTCCGGCTTCAGCCCTCCTCTGCGATCTCGCCGTCAAGCTCCTCCTCCGCCTTCAGCCCTCCTCAATCTCGCCGTCGAGCTCCTCCTCCACCTTTCTCTCGAGCTCTCTCTGGATCCCTCTCTCGATCCGCGAGCGCAGGTAAAATTCTGCCCGTGACAGTGAACTATGTTGATTTCACTATAACACTTGATCTTAAAGAAATGAGAGATTAAAATTTTTGCAGTTCTTGAAATGAGGGGATTAAAATTTTTGCAGTTCTTGTAAAAATCAAATTCCATTGTAAAAATCAAATTTTCACAACAAGAACAGATATAAAAACAAAGTTAACTAAGATAGCAAATAACCCTGTTGACAACAATATATATTCAGCAGCTCCCTATTTCAATCCCCTCATTTCAAGAACTGCAAAAATTTTAATCTCTCATTTCTTTAAGATCAAGTGCTATAGTGAAATCAACATAGTTCACTGTCACATGCAGAATTTTACCTGCGCTCGCGGATCGAGAGAGGGATCCAGAGAGAGAGCTCGAGAGAAAGGCAAAGGACGGCGAGATCGCGGAGGAGGAGGGCTGAAGCCGGAGGAGGAGCTTGAAGGCTAGATCACGGAGGAGGAAGGGTTGGGGTCACGGGGGAGAGAGATCAGTCGGCGGAGATGGTCGGTCAGCGGAGAGAATCCAGCGGATCGAGGTGTGGAGTTGGGGTCACGAGTGACGGAGTGAGAGAAAGGGAGATGAACGGTCGGCGGGCGGAATTTTGCTGGAGAGTATTGGGGATGTGAAGGGGATCTGGATTGGGTTTTGGGGTCACGTGAGAGAGAATTAGGGGGTTGGGATGAGCAGAGAGAGGAGCTATTTAACTATATCTTTTTCAACTAAACATTTTTTTCATGTTATTTTTTGAGCAAACGCTATAGATCACAAAGAATTGACAGGAATTCGTAATTTTACAAGTCGACGATTAAATAGATCGAAATCTTATATACTTAAATTTACATTTATTTTCAACAAGATATTACGGGAGTAAAGAATAAAGGCACTGTCATTTTTTCAAGAAAAAGCGCGCCTGGCAGCGGCAGGTCGGGAGTGCTGGCCAGGCGCTTCCCCAGTTTTTATAATATATAATAGTATATATATATATTATATAATTATTAAATATATTATATAATATATTATTAATATATATATATATGAGATTAATGAGTATCCTTATCATAGGAGGAGATTTTCCTCCTTTGATTCGCCTAGCTCCTCATAATAGTAGGCCACCGAACTCACACTCTCTCTCCTACTTTATGGAGGATGGTAAGGGATTGTGTCACATAGACGTTAAGGAGAAAATCCCCTCGCTAATGACAAGAGATACTCAATTAATCTTCTTCTCTCTCTCTCTTATATAGATAATTATATATATATATATATATATAATATAATATATTATATATTATATTATAGGAGAGAGAGAAGAGGAGGAGAGACTGAGATTGGTGAGGAGAGAGAGAGAGAGAGAGAGAGAGAGAGAGAGAGGAGAAATGGAGACCTTATGCGTTCCCGCTTATAAAGTACACTTGGTAGTGATGTGGCATAATTCTTGGCCCCTACATCACACTCCTGAAAATAGAGCCTCAACAATATCCATCAACCACTTCAATGTAGATGTAGGTGAGGGACAAGATAGGCACATCAGCTACAAAGTTTGCTTGGAGCAGGTACCACAAGTTTTTCGATTTTCTCAATATATATATATAATATATATATATATATATATATATATTTATATATATTATATATTATGGGAAAAGTGAAATCTATGTGTGACGACCCTAGGTTCCCACCTAAGGGACGCGGTTAAAAATCGACAATCATTTGCCTAATTTTTTTAACGATCCAGGCTTCCTGTTGAAGTTTGATCTACAGGTTCTTAAACCCAACCAACAGATTTTGAGGGTGAACCGTCGTGTTTTGATCCTTTATCCACTCGCTGGCAGCAACTTTTAACGTGTTTGCGAAATGAATAGAAACTTTTTGCACGGCTTAAGCGAATGGTCATAAACACAACGGTGTTTACCCCAAAATTGTGTGTTTCGGGTTAAAACGTTAGATCAAGTTCATGGAGCGGGATCGTAATTTTTTATTTTTAGAGAAATGCATGTGTTCTTAGCCGCGTCCTTGAGGTGGGAGCCAGGTTCACATTAGATTCACTTTTCCCGCTTATAATATATATGATAATATATAATATATATATATACTATATATGATATTATATATATCATTATATTATATAATTATATATATATATATAGTACTATACTATATATATAGACGAGAGAGATGAGAGAGTTGAGCTAGGTACTATTAATAGTGTCTAATATGCTGATACTATCAACCCAATTTTGAAAATCAGAACCCAAAAATAAGAATCCAAACTGGTAGATGTAATCTACTACACACGAACTATTTATAAATAAAATTTCAAAGGATTTCATCATTATTAATCCATGCAAAATATGTCGTCAAAATCAACGTTTTAGAATTTTTATGAAGTTTGTTAATTTTCGCCTCTTGATATATAACTCACAATACGTCAAATTATTTAAAATTTTGTTTATAACTTGTTCACGTGTAGTAGATCACATCTACCTCTTCAGATTTTTATTGTTGGGTTCCGATTTTCAACATTGGGTTGATAGTATCTGCATGTTAGATACTATTAAGTAGCCTAGTTCAACTTTATATACATATATAGAGGTAGGGGGGTCTACAATCACTTGATGTATGTGCAACGAAAACTCAATATGCCTAATTTTTTGTTTGCATATCATCCAAAACATATAGATCAAAATGAATGGAGTGGATCAAGTAAATTGATTGCATGTAACATAGTTTTGAAGGTGGGCCTAACCAAGTTAGTTATTCCATAGGAACTACCAACTCCCTCCCCCCCCACCAAAAAAAAAAAAAACCCAGCAAAATGAGCACATGCAAACATACGTCAACTGAAAGAAGCCACCTAAGTTACCTCGCCTATCAGCTAAATAACATTGGCTGATTTCCTTTGTCTCATCCCACATTTTGCACATCTATCTAGAACTTATTCACTCTAAATTGGTTCATAAGGAGAATATTTTTGAGTCCATAACGCCTTGGCAGCCAACATCATCAATCTATTCCTCTATAATAATGGAGGATCTAAGATTCACTATTCATGTTACAGTATATTATTTACTGTAGCTCAGACAGAGGCGACATCATTTAAAAATGTTACTGTAGCACTTAAAAAAACTGTATTTAAATACAGAATTATTGTAGCGGAAATAAAAAAAATGGAGCCTGTGCTTTGCACGGGGTGCACACTAGTGTATATATAATAACAAAATATTCCCTGCAACAGAGCTCATTCCCTTTTTGATCCCTAGCATCACATCAACTATCCAATCTGCCAAACCTCCTTAACCCACCCCCTGCACCCTCCTTCTAACAACACTCATCTCAATAGAATTACAAAAAGGACACATGACAGCAAGGAATGCAGAAAAAAAGCGATCGCCGTTCACCATCCCATCTCAGCGGAAAAGAAAAGAAGACATGAAGAGAGCTGACATTTCCCCAAAATATCCTCACAGAGAAAACTAATCAACAAGGGAAAAAGAGAAATTAGATGAATAAGAATGGATGATGAATTTTTGCACACAATCTCCGCAAAATACCATCGAATCCTTGTTCATAACAAGGGGTAGAAATTGAAAAAACTAACTGCAAGAAAGGATATGAACGGAAGCTTAAAAGAAAAGGGCTCCTAAAGCTTTTAAACAATGGCTCTTTATGGAGTTGTTCATTTCTTCTTGTTGAACCGGTTCTAGGTATACATAACTTTCATCATGTGAATCAGTGAATGTATCTTGCATGTCCTCTATTCAGATAGACATGTTCTTCATTGCTTACCCAGGCACTGGCATATCCATATTTCAAGGGTTTGGCTAAAGTGGAGAGAGAACAATCTTGTCAACCCATAATGAAAATGGAGTTTGAGTTTGAAAGAAGAAAAGTGACTGAAGAAGACATTCAGGAGCTTATATTCTGGGAAATATTGGAATATCACCCACAGTTGCTCGAGGACTATATTAATGGATCTGACAGGACAAGTTTTCTTTATCTTAGGTTAGGATTTCTGTCGATTAGTTTCAAAATTTTCAACTCCACATAAATATGAACTCAATTTTCTTATTTCTAGTATACCTCTACTACTATGCAGTGCTGTTGATCAATTTCAGAAGCAATTTTCTCATCTTCAGGAGAATGGAGGTGAAAGTGGCCCAGTTGTTCCACTAGAGAGGAAACATGTTCCTCTCCCAAGGTAATATTGTTTGGTTGTAGTAATTTCCATATCATGTTTATGGGTATCATATTATACCCAAAATTATGGTCCATCCCATACTAGTTGTTTCTTTGTTTTCCCTTCAGCAACCATCAAATTAACTCCTACAACAAGAAAGCTTTTAGCCTAAAACTTAGTCTGGAAAAATGAAAATTTCTTTTGCTCTTCTGAAATAATTTTGCAAATTGGCATTTATATAGATCCACAGTAGTCCATTCGTCAACAATCCCTCCCTAGGATCAGCAACAGAACCTCAGATATTGAAAAAAAGCTGTCTGGGAATACGGGAGAGTTGTCCTAAGCTCATCCTCATAGGATTGCAGCAGGTATATATCATCTCCAATCTAAAATTTCTTAGCATACCTTGGTCCATAGACAGCCAGTTTTGAAGTCATTGTTCTTTTTGGTCTTTTTGTTCAGTAGCTGAGCCTGGAAGAGTTATGTGGCCAGTAATGCCCTGTGAGAACATAGGGGTTAAGGATTCATATGATCCTAGAAGCTTTATGCTAGTACAATTCTCATGCCACAACCTTCAGCCATTCCTCTGGCTTACTGTTTTCATAGAGCAACATGGCTGACAAGATAGGGAACTCTGAGAACAGGATAAAAGTCTTAAATGCCACAAAGAAGAGGATGGACTATATGGTGCATCATCAAAGACATTGCCTTCCCCTTGGCAAGATTACACATATACCTACTGACATGAGAGGTTCATCCTTCTTTCATCATTTTTCAGCAGCTGGTGGAAATGAGGCTATCAACAACAAAGTCACCTCCACTCATGGTGGGATTGCAGCTGTTGCCACTGCTGTTGGCGCTCATCATCGCAATATTGGTACTGTTCAGTATGGGATGACAAAGATGTAGCTCAGGCTGGCACACATGGAAGCAATTTGATCATTTGATCAATGGAGATAATTCAGCATCCATTGTATGGATATCATGCCTCAGGCAACTGATTCTTTGGTCGTGAGTTGTTAAACGATGTAGACCAGGGTGTCTGTTGGGTTTGAAGACACATGGAAGGAAGTTACCAGTCTGAAATCTTCATATGCACAGGTTTTCTGTGTATATTGGTTTTGTATTGTTGCTGTGTCTTCCTATAGTGATATGACATCTTTATGTAAGCTCTTGTGCATTCTGATAGAAGCAGCTTATCTCATGGTCCTGAATAGAGAAATTTCGTTTTTGACACCTTTGCATATGCACAGGTGAAAATGTAACATGCTAATGCTATCCTTACTAGATGTCGATAGTACCAATGAAATGTGTAAATGTATAGATGTAGCTGATGTCTAATGTTATAAAACTGATGTAACTTGTAAGTTACTAATATCATGCATGGATAGGACCTTTTCTAACTGTATCCATGGCGAGTTTTGTGATAGTGTACAGATTTTTCTGGTCTTCATCACTTTATTTTTAGAAAGGAGAGATTTTTGAAATAGACACTCCTACAGAATATTCACCAAAACCGACTTAGTTGAGAAAATATTTATCTAAATAAATATACTTTTAGCAACGTGCGCTAGAACTAGGTAAATATTTTGAGAAAAAAATATATCCAAAGTTTAAGGGATCTCATAGAGATTAAATAAGAATTAATCTACATGAGGCTGCTAATCTCTAGGAGTTTGTTTATCAACTCTGGGTAATTGACAAACAAAGTTTAAGAGATTGGCAATTCCTGATGAGAGTTTAAGTGAGAATTAATTTCTAAGGGATAGTCAATCTCATAAAGGTTAATTATCATTTAATCTCGTTGAGATTTCCAATCGCTTATTTGTAAACATTTTTGTAATCAATCTAGTTTTAGCCCGTGATATGGCTGAAACTAGATTGCATTTGGTAAATGTTTCTCAACTAGATCGATTTTTATGAATATTTTTGTGAAATTATCTATTTCGGAAATTTCTCCTTATAGAAACCTGTCTCTGTCTCTAATCTCTTCCTTCCAACACATCGCAGCTTATGAGAAAAAGGTAAATATGGCACTGAGAAAATAGAGAATTTAGACTCAACATATTTAAAAACTTACTTTTACCTCTTACTAGTTAATTGGAATTAAAAAAAAAAGTGTAGGGTTAGGGCTGAAAATGAATTGCATCAAATCAAAAAATTATGTTCATATTTGTATTCATGTAAGACCTTCAAATTTGACTCTTCTTCAAATCTGAATTCGAACATGAAATATCGTTGAAAAATATCCCACCTTTGGGATGGGAAATTGATATAGACTGGGTTACATGCATCGACCGAATCTGACCTTGTGCTTGTGGCCCCGCCGCTCAGTTGACGGAATCTAAGCGTCTTGCAAGTTGGCATCATATATGCCTGTCGACGCCCAAATCTTCACAAGACCAAAATAGGGGAAGGGTTTTTTAAAATTAGTCCCTCAAATCTTTCATATTTTGAACTAGTACCTCATATCATAAAAATTGATACCAAGTCCCCCAAAGATGAAGTATTTTAGTCCCTCAATTCATTGAAATTGTTATTAGCTTTCTGCACATTTAAGTTATTCCGAAATCAGTCCGTCAAAAGTAGAAATAGGAACCAATGTGATTAATTTAAAACAAACTTATGAGGAATTTGGGGATCTAACAGTCAATGGTTGTAGGTGACTGATTTCTCTCTACTTGCTATTTCCACTGTTGGATTGCGAGCCCAATTTCAAGACAACTTAATTAAAGATTTGGAGACCCGATGGCAATTTCAATGATCCGAGGTACTGGTTTCAGAATAACTTAGGTTATGAGGGACCTTTTAGCAATTTCCATGACTTGAGGGAAATATGAAAGTGAAAAAATCAACCGACGCCTTCAATTTCTAAGAAGGAACCATAAACCGAATTTAATTAAATTAGCCAAGTTGAGCTCCTTCCCACCCATCATTTTCCCATCTCCTCCTCCTCCTCCCAAGATCTTTAGAGCTCTACCTCCTCCTCCTCCTTCCTTCGTTTTCCTCTTTATTTTTCCCAAATATTATCTAAATATTCTCATTGGCAAAATATAAAAATGCAGCAGCAGCAGCAGATGGGTTCATTCTGCAGCCAATTGCGGAGCGAGCATCTGAAACAATTGAGGGACATATTCAAGCGTTTCGACAAGGATTCCGACGGCAGCCTCACCCATCTGGAGCTGGCTGCCCTTCTTCGTTCTCTTGGTCTGAAGCCAGGCGGGGACCAGATCCACGCCCTCCTCACCAACATGGATTCTAACCGCAACGGCTCCGTTGAATTCGAGGAGCTCGTCGAGGCGATAGCCCCTCTGATGAGCGAGCAGGCCCTTGCCAACCAGCAGCACCTGCTGGACGTCTTCAGATCTTTCGACCGCGACGGCAACGGCTACATCTCCGCTGCTGAGCTCGCCCGTTCCATGGCCAAGATGGGACAACCCCTCAACTTCTGCGAATTGACGGAGATGATGCGTGTTGCTGATACCGACGGCGACGGCGTCATCAACTTCAATGAGTTCGCTGCGATCATGGCCAAATCCGCTTCTGAATTCCTTGGTCTCCCGATCCTTTAAATTGTAGCCTCAACCGCTCTCATTAATCTTAATTCCTTTTTAATTATTTCTAGATCTTCAATGTTAATTTGTGTTTGACTTTGCAATTTCTTTTCATTAATTTGTATGTATATAATGATTGTGAATTTTGAAGGATACGGGCTTAATTAATTGCCGCTCGTTCGAAACTAAAAAAACAAACAAAACACATGAGCTATAGCCCATAAAATCGTGAATTTGAAGTACACATAATAATTGTTAAAATTAATGGACAAGCTTTAGCGGGTATAGCCTAAGAACACCGTGAAGTTTAAAGAATGCATTATTTAATTGTCATTGGGGCAAAATGAATGATAATGAGGGGGTGTATGCTATATAAATCGAGAACTTTAAGCTAATCATTTTTTATGGTCATTGGTTCGAATCTAACAAAAATAGAGAATATGTGTGGGTAATATAACCTGTGAAACTCATGAAATTTAAAGTACGCACACTTAAGTGTCATTGGGTTGAAATAAATGTAAATGACAAACATCATGAATCATAACTCATGGAAATCATAATTTTTAATCTACATAAGTTATTATTGTTGCATCAAAATGAACAAAAATGGATAAAAATCATCGGTTATATCCCATGAAAATAGCAAATTTGAATATTCATCCATATTGCAGATAGTTTGAAATGATTAACATGGAACTAAAATATGAGTTGTAGCCTAGGAAAATTATAACACACCATTAATTATCACTGAGTAGGAACAAACAATTTTTATGTACCTAATTGAATTTCAATGTGTACTTAAAATTTTGTGATTTTCATATGTTGTGCCCACAATTTTTATTACTTTTTATTCATTACCACCAAATGACAATTATGTAAGCGTAGTTAAACGTTCAAAATAACCATGGGCAATCCACGATTTTTATAATTTTTCTTTGTTCTGATTGAATAGAAATTGCAAACTTTACGATTTTCATATGCTAACCCATGGATTTTTTTTTAGTTTTTATTCCTTTCAACCAAATGGTAATTAACTATCATGTTCTCATTATCTAGAGCACATGAATTTTTCAATTTTTGTATGTTTCAACCACATGGAAATTAACTAGGTATACATAAAAATTTGTGATTTTGAAGGGCTAACCAGTGAATTTTATCAACTTTCATTCTGTTCAACCAAATGGAAACTAAATACGCATAGTTAAAAATCTTGCGATTTTTATTGGCTATATAACCCATGTTTTTAGTAAATTTCATTAATTTTGATCAAATGAAAATTAAATATGCATAGTTGAAAATCAATAATTTCCATGTTTGCTCGTTTCAACCAAATAGAAATTAAGTATGTGTACCATAAAATTTATGATTTATATGGCCTATAACCCATGATTATTGCCATTTTTTTGTCTATTTTAGCCAATGACAATTAAGTATGTGTATCTCAATATTCATGATTTTCATTGGATATAACCCATGATTTTTGTAATTTTTTCCGCTACGAACTTTATTTAACAAAGTTCGAAATGACTAAAGATTGTCAAAAATCATGGTTTATAAAACAAAAAAATCAAGAATTATAGCCTCTACAAAATTATTTGCCAAAAAATCGTGAGTTATAGCCCACTAAATCGTCAATTTTAGTCTTCACAAAACTGTTTGCCAACATGTCAAAATGACTAATAGCGACAAAAATATAGCTTGTAAAATCTTTAATTTTAGCCTTTACAAAATTATTTGTCAATGGTTCGAAATGACTAAAACTAGCCAAAAATTATGGGCTGTAGCTAACAAAATTATAAATTTTAACCTCCACGAAATTATTTGGCAATTGGTTAAAACGACTAAAAAGACAAAAATTTTGGTTATTGCTCATGAAATCATGAGCTTTGGCCTCTATTAAATAATTTACCGAAGCCTCAAAACAACAAAAAATGGTCAGAATTTGTGGGTTATAACTTACGAAATCGTGAATTTTGGCCTCTGCGAAATTATTTGCCAAAAGATCAAAAGTACCAAAAATAGCTAAAAACGTGGTTTAAGCTCACGAAATCAGGAATTTTGTCCTTTGGTAAATTATTTGCCAATAGTTTGCATGATGAAAAATAGCAAAAAATGATGGGTTATAGCTCACGGAATCATAAATTTTAGCCTCTGTGAAATTATTTGCAGCAAGTCAAAACAGCTAAAATTGGCCAAAAATTGTGACTAACGAAATCATGAAGTTTAGTCTTTACAAAGTTGATATGGTGTTTTCAATCGCCAAAGTGTAACCATTTTACCAGTAATGGACAGGTTCACTTCTGCATGCAATGCCCTAATCAAATTGGTGACCAAAGACCAACAAGGATTCCAACTTAGCTGACTCATCGAGTCGACATTCCTTCACGTCGACTCGAACGGCGATACTAGTCGGCCCTCTTGTTGAAGACGACTCACAACGAGCCCACTCGACCAATTATTCGACGCCTCACGAGGACGACTCGAAAGGTGTTACTTCTCGACGAAGGTAGAGAATGACTTTAGCCTCGAACATCTCCCGCAGACACAACGTTGACATCACATTTAATGCTTGGCAGGCGCCATCATACCTCTAGCTTCGATAGCCTTCATGACTCATCGAACCACGTCAGCACCGCCCCATACCTCAGATCGCTTCACATTTAATGTTGAGGTGATCTCTCCTCCACTCGCCGAGTGACGCGTGTAAAGTAGGTGCTGATGTAGTCGCCAACCCATGCTTCTTCACCGCCATGCTGTGCTCGGTCGAAGTGATAATTCTACCCTTTCGGCACCAATATAAACAGAGGTACTATTCTAACATACAAGTGTTGGCCTTTTTGTTTTGATGATGTTTAATAAACAATTTACTACTAATATTATTTGTCTAGTGTTTGTGTTTTTTTATTTATTATAGACAAACAATATGCTGAAGGATGGATGGACTAGAGCTTTCACGATCATATCCTTTGGAGGATGGAAGGAATATCGGTATGAAGCAATGCAATTCAAGTTAAAGACTCAAGTTCAAGCTTCATCCACAAATTTACCAAGAAGAGCTTCAATGAAAATCTATCAATCTTGGGTAATTTAGTTTAGGAGTTTAACTTTGTGTGTTGGTACTTTAAGCTCAATCATATATACACATACACGTATTTGGTTTTTATATATATAGATATGAAATTATATATTTCATGTTTATTGTTTTGTTTTGGTTTAGCTTTATAGATATGAAACAATAGTTATATTCATATACACTTTCACATGTTTCATATTCTATTGTTTTTGGAAAAACAAACGTGTTTTGTATTATATATATATTTGTGAAAATATTGTATTGTTGTTTATAGACTTAACATTCATTATATACATCTTTTATTAAATCTATAAAATAATTTTGTAAAGTTTCAAAACATGGTTTAGCTAAAATATCTAAAACAAGTGTTGTTCATTTTCATGTTTTGGACTAGATTTGAAAATGATGAGTTTTCACAAATGAGAAGTGAAATTCTAAAAATTCTTTTTGTAACATGTTCATTAACATGTTTATAACCATTTTTTAAAGTTTTATATTTTTTAGAATTTATTTACTATTTTTAAAGGTACTTTAAAAACCAATTTTACTATTCAAATTAGGCTGATAATGTGTTATCAGTCGAATGATGCAAGTGTTCAGTCGACAGATGAAAACGCCTGGAATAGCCAAAAGTTTCTGTTTCTATATTGGTCGACTGACCAGTCGACTGATGATGTCATCAGTTGATTGATAAGGACGTCGGTTGACTGATAAGCTGGAAAATGCCTATAACGGTTAGCTTATCAGTCGACTGATGAAACCCGTCAGTCGACTGATGCTATAACGACTAGTTTTTTGTTTTCATTATTTTTGTCTTTTTGCTGGGTTTCACTTGAGTTTTGGGCTTTGTTTCTTCATCCTATATATACCTTATACTATTTCACTTCTGAAGACAACCAAGAGAATGTTTTAAACAAGTTTTACAATGGCGTTTAAGTTTGGTTTAAGTTTGTTTTAAAAGAGTTTGTTTGTGAAAAAACTTTCACAAGAGCAAGAAGAGATTATCCTTCGGTGTTTGAGCTTCAACTCATCTCTCTCTCACTCTTGTCATTTATTGGAGAAGTTTTCTAAACTCAATCTAAATTTGCATTTATATATAATTGTTTGATTATCATTTTTCTAAGCTAGAGTTTATATTGAGTTTAGTTTGATTTTTATTTATTGAATCTCATTGTTGATTATCATTTTTCTAAGCTAGAGTTTATATTGAGTTTAGTTTGATTTTTATTTATTGAATCTCATTGTTCACACACAACCTATTGAGCGTATAGTATTTCATACATAGTATAATTTGGGATTGTGGGTTTGTGACATTGAGAGTGAGCTTAATTGAGTTCTCATCTTGTTAGAGAATAAATCATTTGTTGTTAGCGAGCTAAATTGTGAGGTTCACTTTGTGTTAGACGAGTACACCAAGAGGAGTGTGTGGTGAGAGACGGGGTTGTTCCAAGAGGAATGGCGTCGGTAGTAAATCCTAGAGAGATGTAGTAATTCCGAGCACTTGAGGGCGACACGGGCTTGAGACCAATACTTGAGGTGATAGTTAGTGTGTTTACATCGTGAGTGATTGTAAAGTTTTTGGTGAGCTAGAAAAACGAGTGTGAGGTGTAAACATTTTCAGGTGAACATTGAAAACCCAGTGTGATAGTGGATTTCTACCCGGGAGTGGGGAACGGAGACGTAGAATGAAAGGTCCGAACTCCGTGATCATTTGATTATGTTTGACTTTGCTTTGGTGTTCATTTATATTTGTGCACATTGCTCATATCGCCATTGTCTCATTATTTAGTTTGTCCACTATATTGTTTATATTTGTTTATTTTACCCTTTATTTATATTAATTATCCTTGCATATAATTTGTGCATATATTATTTACTAGGATAATTTGTTAATTAGTTTTAATTAGCATAAAATCGGATTAGATTAGCATAAACCCTATTCATCCCCTCTAGGGTTCTTTCCTAGTGGCATTAGGGTTTTCAACAAGGGGTTGGGAAATCTGATCATCTAAGACATATCTGCAAATTATA